ACCTTGGCTTTGACTTCCATTCTGATGCCTACTCCTCCCCTACACATCTTTTTTTCCCTCCATTTATTTATTGAAGAAACCTGGTCATTTATCCTATGAAAGTTCTCAAATTCTTCCAGGTGTTATGGCTTGAGCCCAGGAGTTCAAGATTAGCCTGGGTAACATAACAAATCTCATCCCTAAAAAAATATGAAAAAATTAGCTGGGCATGGTGTCACTCACCTCTAGTCCCAGTTACTCGGGAGGCTGAGGCAGGAGGATCACTTGAGCCCAAGAGTTTGAGGTTGCTGTGAGCTATGATGACGCCTCTGCACTCTAACCTGGGTGACAGAGCAAGACCCCACCTCTAAAAAAAAAATGATTTCTATATAGTTCTTTTTGTCTTCAGAATATGTCTGTCTTAGGAATGTACAGTGAAACAATTATTAATTCCAGAAAAAACAAAAAGTTATGCAAGAAGGAAAATTTGATCACAGAATGCTATAAGATGTTCCTTTGAACAATAGTTTTGATGTCATAAAAATAGAAGCACTGAATTTTTAACCAAAAATTGCAATGGTAGGATAAAGTAGTTGAAGAAAACTAAAGCGTCATTTCATAGTAGGAAATCAGTAGAGAATGTCTAAAATGGAAGAAACCAGTTTTTTAAAACAGTCTGACTTTGATACTAACATGAAAGAGTTTTCTTTTTCTCCAGTGAGTTTAACTTGTCATCGCATTTCTGTTGTTACGTATGGATTTAACACTCACTCCTCTCCCCTCCTGCGTCCCTCCCGCCCCTCTGACTCCAGCTCCCTGTGAACAGGAGCTAGAGGAAATGGAAAAGCCATTTTTACTGAAATGGGATTGCGGTTTAAATGCTCTTTGGGTGTCCCTCTTTCCCGGACAGCCCTGACTTGGACAATGTCCTCTGCGGAGACCCTCCAGCTCAGGCATCTCTCACGGGCCAGATGTGTGAGTCCTCTGTGGAGGGAGGGCAAGGCCGAGGAGAGGGCTGGTGATCCGAATAGCTTCACCCAAGAGGGGATTTGCAAGTGAGACCTGGAGGAGGAGGAGGCACCTATCACGTGAGCAAGGGAGTGAGAAGGGCATTGCAGACAAGGGGCACTGCTGCGGGAAATGCAGGGTGTGCAGAATGGGGTCTGCAATGCGCCCGGGGCCCGCAGTGGTCCCCAGGGATGCTGCTCAGCTGCTCTGATTTTTCTGGAAGCCCAAGACATAGGGCTATTTCCTAATGTATTTAATAATGGCAAATAATCTGGCGTCTGGTCAGCCCAGTCCATGGTCTTGGAACAAATGGACCCAATTAAAAGGCCATAATAGGGGAATTTAGGGGAAGAGTAGAAAGCCATTGATCAAATCAACGCCCAGATGCCCTGGGGCTGGTTTGTGACTGGCTGTGACAGAGTCCTTCCCTCCACTCTGCTCAGTCCTCTCCCAGATGCTGCCCTAGACCTGGGGACCTTCCTGCCACCCAGGCCCCATCCTCTACTTTTCCACCCCAACCCGTGCCCACCAGCTGCGTGGCCCCTCACCACACCTTCTCTAGGTGTCAGTTTCACTCTCTCCCACCACGGGGTCTATCAGCAATCCTGTCTGCTCTCCCTTCAAAATACATCTGGTGTTGGTCCCCTTCTCCCCACCTCCATTGCTGCCACCTGGTCCTGGTACCCAGGACCCAGGACTAGAGACTAGTGTGGGCTAGTCTCACACACCAGGCTGACCCTTCCAAAATGTGTCACATTCTACCCCCTGCTCAGAACCTCACCATGGCTTCCCACCTCACTGTCGTACCAGCTCTCCCCACCTCTGGCCTCCTCTCCTCTCTTCCTGGCCCGCTTCACCCCCGTCACAGGCCTCCTTACACTGGCGGCCAAGCCTTAGGGCCTTTACACTGACCGGTCCCTTTCTCTGGAAGGTTCTTTCCCATTGGCTAACTTCCAAACCTCTTTCAGGTATTTGCCCAAACGCCCCCTTTTCACCCTCTCCTGAGGTTTCACTTGATCACCCTATTTAAAATCGCACCCTTCCTGCCCTCCCAATCCCTCTTCCTGCTCTGTCCCCCCCAAGCTCTGACACACCATATAATTTACATTTTATTATGTTGCTTATTATCTTTCTCCCCTACTAGAATGTAAGCTCAAGGCCTGTAACTTCGTCTTTCTGATTCACTGGTGATTTCCTAATACAAAGGTGTAGAGCAGTACTTGGCATATAGTAGCCAGTTGTTAAATATTTGTCAAGTAAATGAATGAATGAATCAATAATATAATAATAATGTTTCTACCTCAAAGGGCCATTGTGGGGCTTACATGAAATAATTAATTTGATTTGCTTTGTAAAGGAAAGGAATTAATATATAATGTTTATCCACTGGTACTAGATATTTGGCAAAACAGTCTACACAGTTTATCTCATTTGTTTCTCACTACAAACCTTATTCATTCATTCAGTTATTCCACAAGTGATTGTTGTGCTCCTACTATGTGCCAGGCACTATTCTGGGCACTGAGGATAAAGCAGTGACCAAAACAGTCGGAGACCCCTGTCCTCTGGGAACTTTCATTCTAGCAGTGGGAGACTGCTAGACAGACAACACAAATAAAATGTGATGTGAATCTAATTATCCTTTTTTTTTTTTTATTCTGAGACAGAGTCTCGCTTTGTTGCCCAGGCTAGAGTGAGTGCCGTGGCATCAGCCTAGCTCACAGCAACCTCAAACTCCTGGGCTCAAGCGATCCTGCTGCCTCAGCCTCCCAAGTAGCTGGGACTACAGGCATGCACCACCATGCTTGGCTAATGTTTTCTATATATATTAGTTGGCCAATTAATTTCTTTCTATTTATAGTAGAGACGGGGTCTCACTCTTGCTCAGGCTGGTTTTGAACTCCTGAGCTCAATCAATCTGCCTGCCTCGGCCTCCCGGAGAGCTAGGATTACAGGCGTGAGTCCTTTTTTTTTTTTAATGCTGAGGAAACTGAAGTGCCCAAGGTCACTTGATTAGTGAGTGGCAGGGAAGGTATTCAAATGCAAGTCTGTGCAACCCCTGGGTTTCTGTACTTTCTATGCTTCATGAATGAGGGCATCTGGGCTTGGGTGGAGTGACAGCTTGTGGCTGAGAGGTGTGCATGTCTAGAGCAAGATGTGAGGGGGTTTCTGGAGGGCTGGCTAAGACTTCCCCTCTCACCTTTGTGCTTCTCACTCCACCCAGGGGCCCAGCCTGTGGGCCTCCCTTCCACAGGACGTCCACATGCGTCAGGCACATCTGACCTATAGACATGCTGGTGGGATCCAAATTACAGCATCTTGTAGGGGGTGGGTGTACCCTACCTCCTGCCCAGATGCAGTCACGGAGGTGCTAGGAGGACCAGCTGAGCTGGTCACACTTCCCATGGGATGGACTGCAGGTTTGGAAGCTGTCCTGTGGGAAGATAGGGGCAGACAGAGGACAGGAGTCTCTGATGGGAGTGGGGCAGGGGAGGGAGTTGGGGGTGCCCAGCCTGGAGTAGGGGCATGGTTGTACCCTGCCTTGGACTGAGCTGGAGGAGGAAAAGAGACTGCCCAGCAAGGAATGATCACCTTGGGGGTGGGAGGGGCAGATCAGAGATGAACATCATGACTGGGTTAGGCACCATCACCTTTTTGGCAAGTCAAGGTGTATTGGCAAGTCATGGTGTGCAAATTGTGTTCTCTCTTTCACTTCTCAGTCCTCCCTTCCCACTACATGACCCTCAACAGCCTGGTCATTTTTCTGGACCCCAGCCCGTTTCCTGCCCCTGCTGCCACTCCTGGCCACCAGAGGGCAGCAGCGCAGCGTCAACCAAAGTGGGACCCTCAGTAGACGGACTGAATAGCCAGGGAAGAGCACTGAGCCAGCGCCAAGAATGAACCAAGGGCTGAAGCCCTAGACTGTCCCGCCTGCCTCCCTTTGCTCCCAGGAATTCTGGAGACAGGGAGAAAAAAGGGGTGAGTGACAGGGGAGGGAAGGAGAGGGGCTCCAGAGAGCTGGCAGCGGGGTCCTCTCTCCTCCCATCCCTCACTGCCATGCCCACGCCTGTCCAGTTTCATCTCCTGGTTTTGGTCTGACCTCCTGGCAGCCCCTCGTTGTCCCTCTGTGACCTGACTGCCCACCTGTGGCCCTTCTGTCTTCAGGTATCTACTTGGTACCTGACAGAACTACCCCCCATGCCCATTCTCCCTTGAACACAGACGTGATCACGCAACACAAACACACGTGTGCACACACAGACACAGCACATACTGTGTGTCAACTTTTGCAGCAAGCTTTTAATTTCCTGCCGCACAGTTTTACAATCACTTTGGTCACAAAGGCTGATCTAACAGTTTAATCCTGCACAAGGGGGGACTTTTCACATGGCTGCTGATTTGGAATTTGGCTCCAGGACATAACTCTGAGGACACATGGGGAAAATAGCCCACTTTCTAAGGAAACTTGAAAACAATTGGGGCTAGACATCTTTTCAGAGTTCCTTACCCCAACTCTCTGCACCCCCACCCTGCCCCCACACAGGCTCCATGGACTTGAAGACATCTTTGCAGTGCGAGACCCCAGCCTGGTGGGGAGGGTGGGGCGCAAAGGGGACAGGCTTCCACACCCCAAGCCCAGTGAAGGGGCAGTCTAGAAAGATCACTCAGGGGACTGGGAGGTATCTGTCAGGGTCTCAGCAGGAAAGACATGGCACATGCAAATTGAGTAATTTGGGATACTTTAATGAAGAGACTTTTTTTTTTTTTTATAATGAAGAGACTTTTTCACAAAGGAGTGGGCGGGAGTTTGGAGGGCTCCTTGCAGGGGGCACTTATAGCCAGAGAAGCAGGGACAGTGAGAGAGGGCCTAGTAGTGACAGGGAAGACACACCTTCCTCCCCTCTCTCCCCACCCTGTCCCAATACCTAGAGGAGAGAGGGACCCAGAGGAGGAGTGAGGACGGTCCTCCCAGCACGGGGGAAGAGGAGAAAGGATTAAATTAGGTAGGGGACTGAGATTTTAAACTTGACTTTATTTGTGACATAGAAGTAGTTTGCCAAATATGCAGTTCTCGAATGGGAAAGGGGCATCACACATCGCTGAGCAGGCATCACGGACGGGAGGAAAATAAGACAGCTGTGTGCGCCTTACTGCGTTCTCACTGTCCCCTAAACTGGGGAAAGAGGTCTTCCCCATTCCCTTTTACAGATGAAGGGACTGAGCTTGCAGTCACAGAACTGTTGGTGGCTGAAGGAAGCCAGAACCCTGCTCCTGCCTCAGCTGGCCTGTGTCCCCAGCCCTCCTCCTTCCCTAGAGCTGCTACTTGGTAACCTTGAGTTCAGCGCGACCTAAAGCCACTGTCTTAGTTCGGGCTGCTGTAACAAAATACCATCGACTGGGTGGCTTGTCAACAACAGGCATTTACTTCTCACAGTTCTGGAGGCTGGAAGTCTGAGATCAGGGTGCCAGCACGTCGGGTTCTGGTGAAGCCGTCTTCCGGGCTACAGCCTGCCGACTTCTCGTCGTAGGCTCACGTGGTTGGCAGAGAGTGGGAGAGCACTAATCTTATTCACGAGGGCTCCACCTTCAGGACCCAATACCTCCGAAAGGTACTACTACCATCACCTTGGCACTTAGGATTTCAATATATGAATGGGGGTGGTGGCATAGACATTCAGTCCATAACAGCCACATTTGGTAAAAACAGGACTGAATAGGGAGAACCGGCTTTAAGATCAGGCCCCTGCACAGAGCTCACTGCTTCAAGGTCAGAACCCAAGATGCACCCCTCCCACCCACGCCACGCAGGCTTCTTCCCAGGATGCCCATCCTGGACTTGGAAGGGGAGCTGCAGGAGACACAGACTAGAGATGCTGAAGTTGGCCGAGACAGTAGGAGCAGCAAGAGAGCCCTGGGCTCATGTCTGGGGTCCACCCTGACTGCTGTGTGACTCTAGGCAGAGTATAGCCCTCTCTGGGCCTCCAGTCCCACTGAGCAGGCAAACAATCCTTGGGGCCCCTGCCGGGAGGAAAAATTGATTCCAACTGGTCATGTCTCCCAGGGATCTCATGTGCTGTTTCACAATGCCCTTCAGGAAACGATGTCAGGGCGGGGAGGGGAGGAGCAGGGCAGGGAGGCCCAGAGGGTAGAGACAGGGATATTTTGGGGCAGGTGGGTCCCCCATGTCACTGCTGGACAATGGTCCAGGAAAGTTATTGTGCTTGGAGTGGAAAGTCCTTTTCTGACTTCATCTGCAAGGGCCGAAAATAGCCCAAGGTGGTGGGTGGAGCCCCTGAAGACAGGGTTTGGGGCCAATGAGTGACTGGCCCTGCCTGGCCCATTGTCACTGGCTAGGACAGGGCCGAGAGTGGACATGGGGCTGGACTGGAGCCAAGATAGAGGAAAGCCCAGGAATCCCCTGCTGGAGGAAGAGTGGCTGGGCAGGGCCAAGCCCCATCAAATATGAGGAAACTGAGGCCCAGAGGGGAGCAGTGACTCACCCAAGTTACACGGTGCATCAGGGCAGAGGAGGATGAGAGTTTGACTCTGGGGCTCAGTCCTGACCCCCAGCCCTCATGTGCACAAGCACATCCCCACCCTGCGGCCCAGTCACTCCTGGCCACGCTCCACCCTCCACCCTGCAGGAGCTTCAGACTTTGTACCATGTGGCGGCAGTGGAGCCACTTCACCTCTCTGGTCATTGATGCCAGGAGAGACCCTCTGCCCCCGCTCTAGTCCTCAGAACCAAGAGCCTGGTGAGTCTTGGGAATGGCTGGGGCGCAGCCGTTGCTGTGCCTGTGATGAGGATGTCAGGGCGGAGGTGGGGGAGCTGGAACGCAGGAAGCTAGGTCTCCAGGCTGCGGAGTGTGGCCCAGAGAAGGCAGGCAGGTGGCCTCCAGTCACACAGCAAAAGCTGCTCATTCACTGCCTGCCCTGGACCATCTCCAGGTCAGTCCTGCCATACTTGATCTCAGGACTCTTGGCTGAACCCAAAGTGCAGTGGCAGACCACCGTGGTGGGCACCGCCATTCAGGGAGGAACGGCTCGCCTGCGGCCATGGGTGGGCAGGAACTCACCCTCCTCCTCCCTTCCTCCTCCCACTGTCCCCTCTCCCTCGCCCTCCCACAGCCAGGCACCTGGACAAGGCTCTGTAAACAACTCAGGCCCGAGGGCCTGAAAGCCACCCAGTGCCAGGCAGGGCAGAGGCTGGTCCCACGCCTCCCCTAGGATGGACCTGCTTCTGTCCTCCCACCTCCATAGGGGTCCCCGGAGATGTCAGGCCCCCTGTCCCACACTGCCCAGGCACACTGTCCTCTCCTCTGAAATGTTCATCCCAATGTGGTTACATGTTACGTGACATCAACTCCGTGGGGCAGGCCCAGCCTGTTTGCCTCTGTGCTTCACGTGGAGTGGCCCGGGGAAGCCCCCAAATGCCCTACATGAGTGGCGGTATCTCACGGTAGAAATGAGAAAACCCAGGTGCTGCAACACTAAGTAACTTGCCCACATTGCCACAGCTGGAAAAGTAGAGACAATATTCAAACCAAGGCCATCTGGGCGTAACATCTGTGCCCTTAACCCCATCCTCGCTACACTGTCCCTCTCATCTCGAATCATGTGAAGTGTCACTTACAGCCCTTCCTGCCCTGCAAGGCTCGAGTGTGCTGTGGGACACTAGAAAGGGCCTGAATCTGGGCATTGGATGGCCCTGGACTCAATCTCAACTCACCCACCCTCTGCCTGTGTGACCTGCCCAAGTCCTCCCTTCTCACCCCCGTCTCCCATTTCCGCATCTGCTAAATGGGGATGATACTGTCCGTGTCACAGGGTTGTTGTGGAGAACACGTGAGAGAGTGGCGCCTGGGACATGGGTCAGTACATTAGTTCCCTCCCCCGTGTGCCTGATTCTAAACACATCAGCCCAAATCTGCCATGACAAGGGTGGCAGAAGGGTAGATGTGGTAGCCTTACCTGGACCAAGACTGAAGCAACTATGCGTGGAGAAGATGTTGTCTATGTGCTCTCCTAACTTGGAGGGTGTGTGTGGGATGTCCTCTGGGATTCCCCCTCCTTCCCGGGTGCTGGGACATCTGCCACCCAGGGCAAAGACCTCTATGTGCCACACGGCCTCACTGGGAACAGCTGTGGCAGACACATCAGCAGGCCCCCCCAACACCTGACTCTCTACCCTTTCCCTCCTCCCACCTGTTGCCCACGTCCCTGCCTCAGCTCCAGGACGAGAGGAGCTGGAGTGCGGGTGACAGCAGGATTCCCACCATGGCACCGACCTGCACTGAAGCAGCAGCAGCAGCCTGAGCTCACATCCTGAGCCCCTGGCTCACATCCAGGCGCCGCGCTGACCTGCTCAATGACCTTGGCCAAGGCCCCGCCCCTCACTGGCCTTGAGTCTGCAGCTGGCTTGCATAATCCCTGGGGTCCTGTCCCATGGCTGGGCGACTCACTTGTCCTTTTGCAGTGGCCTTCATGAGTCAACAGCCCCAGGAAGTGATGTCAGGGCGGGGAGGTGGGAAGGGGCAGGGAGGCCCAGAGAGTAAGAAGAGATATTTTGAGGGCAGGCAGGTCCCCCCACGTCACCGCTGGACAATGGTCTGGGGCTGGGAGTGGAAAATCCTAGTCTTGCTTGGGCTGAAAATAGCACAAGGCAGCAAGGCAGGAACCTCGCCCGCAAGGCGCATGCCTGGGCACCAAGCAGCAAGGCCGATGTCTATATACCTAGGGGCCAGGCAGTCCAGCTGAGGTCCAGGGCTGGGGCCCTGGTCTGTCCCCAGTCCCCAGGGGTCTCCGTTCCCCACCTCCACCCACATCTGCCACAGGATTAGATGGTGACTAAGCCCCTCCTCTGGTCCTGGGTTCACAGCGTCTCTAGGGCAGCTGCAGGAGGGCTAGGAGAGCAGGACCTGACAGAAACGGGGCCTAGGGGAACTCTGGCCTGCAGTGGTCATAGTCCCACCCCCAAACACAGATGCCCACTAAGGACCCCTGAAGTCATGATACAGCCCCTGCCTCCAGGTCTAAGCAGGTCTGAGAGGGTCAGAACTCAGCACTCACACTCCTGGCCTGCAGGGCTTCTCGCCTGGGTGGGGGCGCCCTGTAAACTGGGATGGGGTTCAGCCGGGGCAGCAACTGGTAGGAAAGAGATAGGTTTGGGCCTGCGGGAAAGGTCAAGGACAGTGTGTAAGAGGCAGTCACTAAGAAAGCTCAGAGGGACTCTGGCGACATTAACAGAAGTATAGAACCTAGAATGTGGGAGGTGAGTACCTCACACTATTCTGGGCAGGTCACCCACATTGTACAAGGCAGAGTGATAACTGTGATGAGTCTCTCTCCCGTGAGGGAGTTGTGGAGCGAGGCTCTGAATAGAGCAGCCCCTGGAGGTGCCCTGCCTTTGACAAGGCAGAGTGGGAGGGTAGAGAAGTCGAAGGAGGTAGGCAGAGTCGGCACACAGGGCAAGGGTTCTCCCAGAGCCAGAGCAGTGAGTCCCTGTCTTTGAGGTCAAGAGTGAGGCCTGTCAGCTTTGTCCTTCTGCTGCCCAGGGGCTAGGTGCTGGACTCCATCCAGCTGAGCTCCACAAATCAGCTCGGAGTGGTCCCGGCTGGACCCAGGACCTGTCAGGGGTGAGACCTATCTCCTCCAGGTTAAGTCTTGATCCAGCCTGAGCACCAACCGTCCTGCCACACAGCTGGGATTTTGCCAGAAGGCAAGGGATTGCGTGGGAAGAAGAGTGAGTCTCTCTCACACTTATCTGCGGTGCAAGGAAAACCTCATGGACAGGGCAAGGAGGGAGCCCTGCTTTGGCCTCCTTGAGACCCAGCCCCAGCCTCTTCCATGCCCTGAGCCTGTGCCAGCTGTCTGCCTGCAAACCATGCTCTCTTGCCCCCATGTCTCTCTTACCCCTAGGATGTATCCTAAACCTGGCTGTTCTCCTGGTGACGGCTTTTCTCGGAAGCTACAACTCAGGAGTCTCCTACTCCGTGAGTCCCCTCCCTGGCACACAGCCCCATCCACTCAGCATTGCCCAGTGGTGTGCTAGAGCAGCCCGTACCTGCTTGCAAGAGCCAACTGTTAATTTCTCAGGGATTTTGCAAGGAGGTGCACATCAGGTTTGTAGTTGAAATTGGCCATGGTAGGCGCTGGCCTACCATGTTGGCGCTGGCCAGTGGCCAGGTGACCTTGTATTCGTACCATGGCAATCGGCAATGCTACAAATAAGGGGGTCCCCTCAGCTCCCTGGAGATCCAGTTAAATGGTCTAACATTTGTCAGCAAGTGATTGGTCATTACCTAAACTAAGGCATCCCAAGGACTGGGACCCCACCTGACTCTATGCTTGGCACAGAGCCAGGCACAGGAGCCAGTTGGCTTTAAAGTGGGGTATACCTGGGGTCTGGAGAGGGAATCCCTGATGTGAGACTGTTAACGAACCCATAAGAGGGGTTTAATGTTGTCCACTGCATAGAAAGCCAATTACTGAGATAATGAGGATTGTCAAGGAAGAAAGGATTTATTTTAGTGGACATGTCATTTGGGAGGTGGGAGGTATGAACTGGTTTAAATCCCCAACCAACAGGGTCAGGGGTTTTTTTGGAGGTGAAATGAAAAATACATCAGGGGAGTGAGCATCACTATGTGTTTGGGGAAGAGTGCAGTGCACACAAGAGAGATGAAAAATCATGTTAGTACATATGTCCCATGATCAAAAAGGGATACGTCCCTCCCAGAGCAGGGATTTTAGTATTATAATGAGCTAGGGGTTAATACTGGTCATTCTTTTAGCCTAGTGTGCAGGCTCAGTGGGTCGTTGGGCACTATCTGTGGTGGAAAATCGCTTATCATGTATTCTCTGGACAAACAGGTGGTGTGAGGCTTTGTAGTTATCTCGTGGCTGCAAGGAGGTTCTGCGGTTTCTGGGAAAGAAACTCAAAAGGGAATGCATCAGTGCAACAGAAAGTTACAAAGCTCTGGTCAGCAAATCATACTGGCCTGGGAACTGAAAATATGGATAACTACAAAAAAAAACCTATAAAAAATGTTTTCTTGCTTATGGAACTGGTTATAAGACTACCCCGAGACTACTAGTGGGAAGGCAGGTGGCAGAAGAGGACAGATTGGAGAAGGGCCCCTTGTGTGGATGTTGAAAGATTCCCAGACTATATCCCCATCCTCTGACCACACAATAGGGCACAGCTTGGCAGACAACAAAACCTTTAGTATAAGTTACAGCTTCACACTGGCTCCCAGCCCGGGGGAGCCTCCAGAGGAGTCTATGACATCAGTTCCCAGATGCTCGTTTCTTGGGCAGGGGGTACTCCTCACAGCTGAGTCCACTGTGGCACCCAGTCCTGCTCCCGACCACCATGAGAACTCAGCCCTGACTACTCATCAGGGTCCTCCAGCCAACCTGTGACTCTGCCCCCACCCCAGGTGGCTCAGACTCAGACCTTGCTGTGTGACCTTTGTTAAGACACCTTCCTCTCTGGTCCTGTTTCTCTATTTGACTTAAATAGAGTAGACTCCAGCCTGGGCACCTTGGCGGGCACAGCCAGCTAATCCACATGGGAGTCAGGCCAGGGGCAGCACTGGCCATGAACATGGTTTCCTTCCGTGAAACCATATTCCCCCAATCGCACATACGAATGACAAGTGGGGACTATGGGGACAGTGGACTCTCTTCTGGACAGTGGAGGAGGGAGTATCCTGAGCCCCTGCCAAATGACAGAGCATGGGGTCATGGCTTCCTCGATCATCTAGCATGAGCCGCTGATGATCCATATCTGGGAAGACCATCCCATTTGCACAAGTCCTGGTCCTCGACCTCTCCCTGCTCCTCGACCTCTCCCTGCTCCTCCAAATAAACTTGCACAGGCCCAAAGGCTTCAGGTCCTACAGCCGGATGTCCTTAGTGTTTTCACTACCAGCTGGCGTGGACTTGGTCCGCCTGGAGTCCTCACTGCTGGCCGACACGTCTTCTGCCCCCTGCAGGTCAGGCCTTTCCGACCTTCGCAGGCCCAGCCTGCGACCGGCCTGGGCGGTGGGGCTGGGGTCTGTGGGCGGTTTGGCATCTCGGGCAAAGCGCACGAGCCTCTGCCCGGCCAGGAAGTAGAGCACGGGGTCAAGGCAACTGTTGGCGCTGGCCAGCGGCCGGGTGACCTTGTAAGCCATGTTGATGGCGTCCAGGGTGCGGCAGCTGAGGTCAAGCGAGCGGAAGGAGTAGTAGAGGGTGCGGGTGATGTGGAAAGGCAGGAAACAGAGGGTGAAGACAGCCAGCACCACGGCGATGGTGCGCACGGACTTGCGCTTGGCCCGCGGCAGGCCTCCCGTGGTGCCGTAGGCCGGCTTCAGCAGGCGCCGCGCCATGAGCACGTAACAGACCAGGATGACGGCAAAGGGCAACGTGAAGAGCAGGCCCAGCATGACCGAGCTGTAGGCCACGAAGTGGCTGAAGAGGTCCGGCGCCGACGTGTCGTGGCAGGTGATGCGGCCTCCGCGGGTGCTGGTGGTGACGAAGTAGAGCACGGGGGACTGGCAGGCCAGCACCAGCACCCACACGGCCGCGGACACCCGGCGGGCATAGCGGGCCCGGCCCCAGCGCAGGGAGCGCAGCGGGCGGAGGACACCCAGGCATCGGTGCACGCTGATGCAGGTGAGGAAGAGGATGCTGCAGTACAGGTTGGTGTAGAAGAGGAAGCGCACCAGCTTGCAGAGCGCCGTGCTGAAGGGCCAGTGGTCGCCGCGGGCGTAGTAATAGACCAGCAGCGGCAGGGAGGCCGCGTACAGCGCATCCGACACGGCCAGGTGGAACATGTAGGTGGTGGAGGCGTTCCAGGTCTTGAGGCGGCACAGGAAGATGTAGAGCGCCACGGCGTTCAGACACAGCCCCAGCACGCACACCACGCCATAGGACACGGGCAGCAGCACGTACTTGAAGTCCTCGTTGAAGCGGCATTTGTAGCCCAGCTCAATCCCATCCCAGGTGCCATTGGTGGTGCCATTCCCAGGGCCTTCTGCCATCGCCCTGCAGGGACCGGGGAGGGGGGGGGGACAGTCGTCAGGGTCACGGGAGGCTCTGAGGGGAGTACTGACACCCACCCGACCAGGGCCTTTGTTGCCATCTGACCTGGATTTGGACCCAGAACCTCCAAGCCCTGGAACCTCAAGGATGCATGAGATACACAAATATAAGGATCATATAATTCTCAAACGTTGTTTTTGTAAATAAAGCTTTATTAGAACACAGCCATGCCCATCTGTTAACAAAGACCATATGGCCTGCAAAGTCTAAAATATTTGCTATTTGACCTTAAAAAAAGTTTGCTGATCCTGCTCTGATGGCGTCCAGGGTGCGGCAGCTGAGGTCAAGCGAGCAGAAGGAGTAGTAGAGGGTGCGGGTGATGTGGAAAGGCAGGAAACAGAGGGTGAAGACAGCCAGCACCACGGCGATGGTGCACACGGACTTGTGCTTGGCCGAAAAAGTTTGCTGATCCTGATCTCAGGATCAGAGTTCTAGATCTAGGGTTCTGAGCCCTAGAATCTGAGGAGCTGGGGGTGTCAGAGGGGTACAGTCTCAGATCTATGGGAAGGGGCCTTCCAGGCTGGCTGGCCCTGCTTCACACCCAGTGCCCACTGCCTGCTGAGGTGTTTCTGGCCAGTGGGCAGCCCATAGTCTCCTGTGGGCACTGCCAAGTTCCTCCTGCAGCTCATCTTCCCACTCCCTGGGGACACTCTGGTCCTGGGCCTGGTATTTTGATATTTGAGGAACTATTTCCAAGGATCTCCTTCTTCAGTTATTCATTTAATCACTCGGTAAATATTTTTTGGATACTCTGATATTCTGGCACTTTATACATCTGCAAACAGCAGTCATGACCCCAAGACCTATGAGGCTATCAGACAGGACAGTGACCCTCCTGAAGAGTCCAGGGAGGTCTGGGGTGGAGATGGGGATGGGGGGACAAAAGGGGACTTCCTTGCAGCTTCTTCTAGACCAACCCAGTTTCTCTTTCATGACATTCCCCTACCTTGTCCCTAATGAGCATATGACACCCCATGCGGACTGACTGCCCAGCAGACAGTGAGTGCCCAGACAGCAGCTTGTCTACCTTCCTCTTCTTCCCACCCCTATCAGTGTGAGCAAGAATAGCTCTCTCAGTTAGGAGGCAGGGGACAGACCCCAGTCTGGAGGGCAGAGATGTGCCCAAAGGTCCCAGAAGGCAGGCTGGAAATCACAGCAGAAGACTCAGGTGGGCAGGTTTGAGAAAAACACAAAGAATAAGTTTCTAACAGTGTGAAGGAGTAGGGGAACTAACATTTTTCAAACCCTACTACTATGTGTGCTTTTTTTTTTTTTTTTTTGAGATAGAGTCTTGCTCTGTTGCCCGGGCTAGAGTGCCGTGGCATCAGCCTAGCGCACAGCAACCTCAAACTCCTGGCTCAAGCGATCCTTCTGCCTCAGCCTCCTGAGTAGCTGGGACTACAGGCATGCACCACCACACCTGGATAATTTTTTCTATTTTTGGTAGAGACAGGGTCTTGGTCTTGCTCTTGCTCAGGCTGGTCTCGAACACCTGAGCTCAAACAATCTGCCCACCTTAGCTTCCCAGAGTGCTAGGATTACAGCGCGAGCCACCGCACTGGGCTATGTGTGCTTTATTAAAGTTACTTCATTTAAGCCTTACCACATGCTCTGGGAGTCAGATCACCATCCTCAGTTTTCCAATCAAAAGGCTAAGACACAGATCATTTAGGTAATTTGGTCAAAGTCACAGCCCAGCTAGGGATGGGCTGCGGTTCCCATCCAGGTCCATCCCACAATGGAAGGGGCTGTAGGAGGGAGGTAGTGAACTCTCTGTTCATGGAGACAGGCAAACAGCTCTCTAGTAGAGGTTGCAGGAGGGCTTGTGTCCTGTGTGTGGGTGTGTCTGGGAGGCTAGAGAGGACAGATGACGTGTGAGGCCTTCCTACCTCGAGAATCTGAGGCTGTACAATTCACTTAATTTTGGATCCCAGGGTCCTGAGAGGCTGGGACTGGGGAACTCTATAGGGTAGCAACATCCCCTCCCTTAGACTCGAGCTTCCCGCCTCGCCTTGGTCTCCTAGCAGCAGGTCAAGGCCCGTGAGGTTAGGATTAGGGGAGCTGAGGGAGAACATAGGTCCTTCAGTTTCCCTTCTTTCCCCATTTCCCCCAGATCTTTCCTGTCTCCTATTGTCAGCAAACCCAGGAGGAAATGGGCTTGTACCCTTGACACCCCTGCCAGGGACCCAGATGGCTCCACAAAGAGCCAGGGCAGAGGTAAGAGGAGGAGGCAGGGAGAAGCTTATTGATGCCAAGCTAAGAGATGACAGGTAGTAGCTGGGGTCTGACAGGGCCAAGTGGCTGGACCCCTCTTGCTCAGGGGTCAGGACAATTCCTGCACCCCACCCTTGCCTCATGCCCCAGCCCAGTGCCAGCCTCTCCCTCTCATTGCTGGAACATTGCATCGGTCTTCTTCCTCCAATCTCAGCCCCCTCCCCAGTCCAGAGGGGTCTTTGTAAAAGACAAAGTCATTGCCCTGCTAGAAACCCTCCTGTGGCTCCTGCCTTCTCTCAGAAAGCCCAGTCCCTTTGTCTGGTACTCTAGGTTTTCTTTTTCTTTTCTTTCCTTTTTTGTTCTTTTTTTAGATGGGGTCTCACTATGTCATCCAGGCTGGTCTCCACCTCCTGGTCTCAAGCAATCCTCTTGCTTCAGCCTCTTAAGCAGCTGGGACTACAGGTGTGAGCCACCACCCCCAGCTCCTGGTACTTGAGGTTTTCATGACCCAGTCTCTGCCAACCACACAAGCCCCATCCCCTGTGACCTGTGGTTTCCTAATGTGCTCATTACTTTCCCCTCCCAGCCTTAGTTCCTGCAGCTCCTTCTACCTGGATCTATTCTTGCCCCTGGTCTCCACCTGTTGAGCTCTTTATCCTTCAGTGCAGCAAACTCTAGTGACTAGAACCTGGCTTCTGGGGTCAGACTGCTTTTGTCTCCCTGGCTGTAAAATGATGAGGTTAATAGAATCTCCACCATAAGACTGCTGGGGGGATCAAGTAATTTGTGTAAAATGTTTGGAGTGGAACCTGCACACAGTAGGGACACTGTGGTGTTATGAGCATCGAGGCTCGGCTCAGAGGTGGCCTTTTCCAGAACCCTTTAGGGAGCCCTCTCAGACCACAGGCAGAGGAGGGGCTTGGGGGCCGGACTGGAGGCTATGGAAGAGGTGAGTGTGGTGGGCCAGGGGAGTGACGCCAGGCCTGGGACCCCCTGAGCGAGGAGACCTCAGAGATGTTTGGGAGGGAGGCCCCGGAGACCGTTCCCTTATGGGGAGGTGTGGGAGCAGAGGAATTCAGTGTCAGACACGGTAAGTGTGGGGACGGGTGCAGGCTGGGCCTGTTGGGTCTGGTGCTGTTGGGTCTGGGGCTGGGCGTCGCTGGCCCACAGAAGCTGCAGGAGGTGCGTGAAGAGGCCCCAAGTGTGAGACCGAGGAGCTGTAGAGGGGCCACATTCCCTCCCCGGACAGAGCCCTGGCCTGGGACTCAGAAAGCTTAGGTTCCAGTCCAGCTCTGCCACAAAACCCCAGGTGACGTCAGGCATTTCTCAGACCTCTCACGGGTCAAGTCCCCCAGCTGCGCTACTGTCCCAGGGCCAAGGCCTGGCTGGCCGCCCCTCAGACTAGGGTCAGGGCCTTCATCTTCCCTTCATAGTCGACATCTCATCGCTCCGTACCAAGAGTTTCCTGCTAATCACGGATGGTGGAATCTCTGACACTGAGAAGGGTGGAGACTTCCCTGTCTCCCCATGAACTGGGGGAGCTGCCCTTTCCACCTGTTTTAAGACATCCTGGCCTCCACCCTCCCAGGCCAGCTGGGGACTCCATCACTGTGGGCCCTGGGCCAGACTGAGCCCGCCTGCCCCCCTCCTTCCACAGGCTGCCTCACCAACCTGGGAGCACGTCTTTCCCTGCCTCAGCCTCAGCCTGGGCTTTAGGGAGACAGGAATGTACACAGCCCTCTCCCTCAGGCCTCCCCTCTGCCTCTCCTGACCCTGGCTGCCCTTGGGACCTCCCCACAGGCTCCTAGGGAGCCAGGTGTCACCTGATTTTTTTCCAACACCACTCACTAACCCCTCTGGGCCCAGTTCTGGCTGGCCCTGCCCTGAGGAGCTCCAGTCTGGAGGGGAGGTGTGAGCCATTTAAGAGCCCTTCCAGGCTTCCCCACCTTTGCTCAAGCTGTCCTTTCTGCCTAGAACAGCTTTCTAGAACCTACCCACAATTCTCAAAAGTCACCTTATCCCTGAAATTCTCCCCCTCCACCATCACCCCTCAGGGCATTCCTTGTTGGTAATTTGTCCTTCCAGCCTTTAACCCAACACATTCCATGTGCTCCTTGAGGGTTGGGTCCATGTGATGTTTTTCTCTGTCCCTATCATCCATCAAGAAGCCCAACCCACAGCAGGTATTACAGGACCAAGAGAATGAATGAATGAATGAATGAATGAATGAATGAATGAATTGAGCAAGAGGTTATGGGAGCCCAGAGGAGGCTGAGCTTGATAAAGATGCATCTCCTTTCCCTTGCTTCTCTGAGGGTCTCTCAGAAGACAATGGTGTTTAAAGATTTCTCAGCTGCTGACCTAGGTGGCCAGGGGACAACCCAGCCCTCCTGGGGACCCAGCACACTTGGGACTTGCTTATACCTAGACAGGCCACTGTACTGTCTCTCCTTCAAGAGCTTCAGGGGCTCAGAAGTCTCTGCCCTTCTCTGGATAGCCAGGGAAATGGCAGGGGGAGGGGAATGGAACCCAGGCATTCTGGAGACGGATCAGCTGTCTGAGGCCTGCCACACGTTTTTATCTAGCTCAGGTCACAGGTCAGTCTGATCAGCAGTTCTCCATTCCGAAGTCCCCACTGCCAGCCACCCTGCTTGGTAGGGGCCAGACCTGGGCTGAGCAGCTTCTACGCAGCCTCTTCATTTCATCCCCATGCCCCACCTCCACCCCTTGGTAGGTATTGCCAGAGAGGTCAAGCTATTGTTCAAGGTCACACTGCCAGGGAATGGAAAAACTGGGCTTGATACCTAGGGCTGTCTGGCTCCAAAGCTTGAATTCATCACAGCCTGGGATGAGGAAGCAGGTCAGGGCACCTGCCTTGGGACCCGCCCCCCCAATCTAACCCCAGTTTAGTGCACAACATGCAGGTGTACCTGCCCAAGCCTCCCAGCCAGGGGACCCACCCTGGCAACCCCGTACCTGACCAGCCCCTGCTCTTGAGGTCAGGATGCTCAGCGCCTGCTCAGGTTCCTCACTCATGAATGCACATGCCTGGACCAGGCTGCCAGAAACTCTGTGGGAAACAGGAAAAACAGGTCCCCAGGCCTGGGGCAACGCCCAGCCTCCAGCATTTTTCAGGGCAGGCAGTGCCACAGCCCACAGGGGGCTCCTGCAGACACAGGGGGGTGGAGACAGCATGGGTTAAGGGTCATGGGAAGCCAGCCAGACCAAGCCCTCCCAGGGCCACTGCTTCTGCTCTAACCTTGGCCTGAAGGAGCCAGAGGGGTGGCCTGGTGTGCTTGTCCTGGTCACAGTGCCCTCCGCATACCCAGACCTCAGCCGTCCACCCCAGCTCACATGCTCCGGCCTCCTTCCCCAGGTACCCCCTTTCACAGCAGTGTGGCTCTGCTGGGTGGAAGGTCGCCCCCATGTCCTGCAGAGCTGAGCCAAACCTCCAGTGTCCCCTCCCTCAGGCCTGGCTCTGTGCTTTGGCCCCACAGCAGGAAATAGTCAATACCCTCCTTGCCCACGACACACTCTATTGTACTTCTCCCGACACACTTTTCCCAAGCTAGGTCTCCATCTAGAATCTCCCTCCTCCCCGCACGCAGCGCTAAGCATTCATCCCCAGGCGCTAGAAACACGCACTCCACACCTGAGCGTACACGCAGGACACAGCAAGGCGCGCAGATGCACACAGGCACACAGAGCCACGCTCAGACATACACGCAGTGGAGGACACGCACACAGTCCAGGCAGTCAAGCCCTGGTACAGCCTCCAGAAATCACCTGTGCCAAACCCCCTGTGACACAGGAGGAAGCCGAGGCCCAAGGCCTTCCAGTGAGTCAGGGACAGAACCAGGATTAAAACACGGACCTTTGCATTCTAGCCCTGGCTTTGTCCTGCCTTGGAGCCCCTCACGCACACCCAGCACGGGGCTTCTATGAGGGGTGTCTGGTGGAGGGACCCCCCTATAGGGGCAGATCACAGCATCCACCAGACATAAGAGGAAAGGAACATCCCCTTCCTGAACTACCTTCTCACGTCTGCTTCTTTTCCCTAGAATGGGGGAGCGGGTCTGAGACAGCGGAGACCGGGTCCCCAAGCTGGAAGTGCAGTGCAAGGGCGGGGGATGTTGAGAGGAGATGGGGCCGCAGGAACGGGGCTGGACGGGGCGTGGGCAATGCCTCTGGGCCACTGTTTACTTAGTGTACCTTGCTGGGTCATCTCAGGCTGACATGGCCACTGGGCTGGTAGCTATCTGCCAGTGTACTCTAGTGTCTATGATAAGGCCAAGGGACATCGCCTTTTCACCCCGCTCCACCCTGGTGCACACCCTGTCTTCTCCTTAGGAGATGCCTCCACTCAACATAGCACTTTCTCAAAGTCATTGCCCTGTTTCGTTTCTGAGAAGGGCCTCCACCGTCCTTCCAGGCTTCAAATCTCCAATGTAGCCTTGACAACCTCTGTCTTCCACCCCATCTGAACCCCATCACTCACCACGTCAGTTCAACTGTGAAGCCCCTCAGACATGCACCCCTTGGACATGCACTTCCCCAAACCACTGCCCCCTCCCTGGACTCCTTGACACCACCCCTGTCCCATCTGTCCAGCCTTCACACTGCAGTCACAAGGTCTTCCTAAAACACAAATCCAACCACATACTGTCAAGTTCAAAACCCTTCTGTGGCTCCCTAGTGCCCTTGGGCTAATGTCCAAGCTCCTCCACCAGGCATCCAGACCCTAGCTGATCTTGTCCCTGCCAACCCACCCTCTCTGCCTCCACACCCACCTCCTTTTCTCAAGCACAACAAAAGCAGTCTCATGGTCATATCTTTGCTCAGGGACACCCTCCCTTATCTTCTAACATCTATTTCCCAAGAGTTCAGTGCTGTCTCTGCCATATTTTGTGATAAGGTGGCTTCATATTCCTCTTCTCATTTAATCCTAAGAGACTCAGAGAGGCTAAATACCTTCCTGGGGCCACCAAGCTAGCAAACAGCAGAGCAGCTCCTGTCTGTCTGACGTCTGAAGCTATGACTGTCACCACAACTCTTACCTGCGAGGCGCAGGCCTCTGCCCAGGAAGCTCGCTGACCAGTCCCCTTCTTTCAGTCCCACAGCTCTGCCTGTCTGGTCAGTTCTCCACCAGAGGAGTGCCCAACTGGCAGGGCCCTGGATTTACTCTTTTTTTTTTTTTTTTTTTTTTTGAGACAGAGTCTCACTTTGTTGCCCTGGCTAGAGTGAGTGCCGTGAGCCTAGCTCACAGCAACCTCAAACTCCTGGGCTCAAGTGATCCTCCTGCCTCAGCCTCCTAGTAGCTGGGACTACAGGCATGCCCCACCATGCGCCACCATGCCCGGCTAATTTTTGTATATATATTTTTAGTTGGTCAATTAATTTATTTCTATTTTTAGTAGAGACAGGGTCCGGCCTTCCAGAGTGCTAGGATTACAGGCGTGAGCCACCACGCCTGGCCTGGATTTACTCTTTTTTTTTTTGAGACAGGGTCTCCTTTGCTGCCCAGGCCTAGAGGTGAGTGCCGTGCGGTTAGCCTAGCTTCACAGCAACCTCAAACTCCTGGGCTCAAGCATCTGCTGGCCCTCAGCCTTCCCCGAGTGGCCTGGGACTGACAGGCTTGCGCCCACCTGCCCGTAATTTTTCTATATATATTCATTGCCCAATTTAATTTCTTTGCTATTTTATGTAGAGGAGGGTCTCGCTCTTGCTCAGGCTGGTTTTGAACTCCTGACCTCGAGCAATTCGCCTGCCTTGGCCTCCCAGAGTGCTAGGATTACAGGCATGAGCCACCGTGCCCAGCCTGGATTTACTCTTTAGTACTTCCCTAGTGTGAGGTGGCCACGATGGTTATTGTACCCATCTCGCAGGTGGAAAAACTAAGGCCAGAAGGGGTAGCTCAAGGTCTCAAGAAAATCATGAGTCAAGGGCAGAGCCTAGCCTAGCATGCAGACCATGCAGACCTGGCTCTGCCCCCGCCCTAATCTGGGTCTTTCTCTCTGTGGCCCTAGGCTAGTGAGCCTGAAACCAGGAGGGGCTGGGGCAGGTCCCTGGTGGCTGCGGAATTTCCAGGGTGGTTGGACAACATTCCAGCTGCTCCACTAGGGTGTGCCACGCAACCTGGCTGGTGGACCCTGTCCAGCCTGGCAGGGGAGAGTGTCCTGTCACCACTCTGGAGACCCCTGCTGCCTGTCTCTGCCAGGGGTGGAATGCTGCGAGGAGAAACAGAGAACCTGCACCCTGCCATCTCGGGGGCAGGAGAAGCCCTGGGCAGGGAAATCTCAGTTCTGCTATTCCCAGCTGTAGGACTTTGGACAAGTCCAAACCCCAAATCTCAATTCCTCTCAATATCAGAAAGTACCTGCCTCAGAGGGTTGCCCAGATAGTTAAATGAGATGATTCAACTCCTTTTAGGAACTAATAGGAGAGAAGATTTCAGCAAGTGGAGAAGGCACGGAGGATGAGGGTATCTCAGGAAGACGACAGGGGCAGGAAATCCCACGGGAATTGTGCGCAGGGGCTGTAGGTAGTGAGGTCATGGTTATAGCGTCCACAGATCAAGTCTCGAAGAACACTGACAGCATCCTCGGGGGAAGCCGTTCAGGGACCCCACGCAGGAACCAGACACCTGCCACAGTGCCCTTCACAAAGGTTGCTGTGCTATGCCTGTCCCTGGGCAGGGCACGTGGGCACTCGGAGGCAGGTCAGATTCTTCCCTGATCGCAAGGAGCTCACTGTCAAGGTGGGAGAGGCACACTCAGAAACAGGCAGTGACAACTCAGGGCGATCAGGCCTGAACAGAGCCGAGGCGGTCCTGAATGGGAATGGAGGGTGGCTAGAGAAAGCTTCCTGGAGCAGAGCACATCTGACCTGAATTTTGGAAGATCAGTAGGAGTCAGCTGGGTGGAGAGAGAGGAGGAGCAGAGTGAGCAAAAGCCAGAGCAAGAGATTACATGATATGCTTGGGGACTGTTAATTGTCCCTGTGGCTTGGGAGTGGAGAGGGCAAGGCTGGGTTGAACAGGCTTAGGAGCTTAGAAGTCACCTCTGTTCCCTCCCAAATGTCCTCCGAGAAACCTTGCCTGATAAGTTGCTGCACTGTGATCACGGGGGCTGGTCTGCAGAAACAGCCAAGGGGTAACCTCTGACGTTATCAGCCAGGGCTCTTGCAGTGTGACTCTCCCCTTCAGGAGGCCCTTGAGCTGTATAGCTCCTCCCTACAGGGAGCCCCCAGGATCCTGGCTGTGGGGGCCACTCACTGAGGCTGAGCTCAGAGCATCTGAGTGGGTGGGTCTCAGATCAGCCAGGCTTACAGATCAGGAAACTGAGACCCCCTAAAGAGGAGGAGCCTTACTTAAGGTCTGGTGTTCTAATTATTTCCAGCGTGGTTGAGCAAACAACCTCCAACCCAGAGCAGAACTCCAAGCCACCTCTCCCACCCCCAGCTTAGCACAGCCCAGCACGGGGCCGTGGAGATGTGCTACTGAACTGAAAACAGGTTCAGAACCACAATGCCCCAGATGTGACCCGGACCTATCATACCCAATGCCTCCAGCCAGACTCAAGAGGCAAGAACCCTGGGTTCAGGCTCCAACTTGGAACCACCCATGCTGTGCAATCTTGGTCAAGTCAGTCCCCCTCTCTGAGCCTGGGATTCTTCACTGGTCAAAAGGAGAGAATCACCACTACCTGTGACAGCTCATGAGGAATGAGTAAGACAGGGGCAGGTGGGTGCTCCACGGTGCTAGCAAATTGTGCACTGTCCTGATGTGGATGGAGGTTGTGTCTGTCACGACAGAGAGACACTGAAATCCAGAGGCCCACGATGATTCTCAGTGGGGGGTGGTCTCTCAGGTGTCCCCAGCAGAGGGGCAGAGGTCACGGTCAGAGCAGTCAGGGAAGGCTTCTGGAAGAGGAGCTTTGATCTGGTTTGAGGAGGAGCAGGAAGGGTCCCACTTGAGAGGAAACAGGGAGAATGGAGAACCGAGTTGGAAAAAGGGGTAAAGTGTAGAAAGGATACCCGCCAGTCTGATTCTGAGATTGTCTCATGCTGAGTGCCCCAAGGATTCTGAGTTCACTGGTTCTCAGAGTACAGTTCCAAGAGTTTCTGGTTCTAGGAGCTAAATGTTTCTTTAATTCTGTTACTTGTTGCTCCTGATAGCCCTTGCTTTTGAGATTTTCAGAACCACAGGAGTCTGGAGTAATGCCACCATAAATTACATTCCCAGGAGACACGAAGTCCCAGCAAACACTTGCCAATGCGCTCGTGTGCCCAGCCTCAGAGGGAGCCCGTGCACCCAGGCTCAGATCACACTCTGTTAGGCATTTGAGGAGCACACGATCTGGCTGGGGAGAAAGATGCAGACAGGGACTGAGTCCACTTGGGTGATTAAGCCATGACCAAAGGAAGCCCAGGAGCCACAGAGCCCAGAGCAGCTCCTACCTGGCCTGGGGGAGGTGGTCAGGGAGCGCTTCCCAGAAGAGGGGCCACTGAGCTGGGATTTAATAAATGATTAGGAGGCCAGGCGTGGTGGCTCATGTCTGTAATTCTAGCACTCTGTGAGGCCGAGGTGGGAGGATTGTTCAAGGTCAGCAGTTCGAGACCAGCCTGAGCATGAGCGAGACCCCGTCTCTACTAAATATAGAAACAAATTAATTGGCCAACTAAAAACAATATATAGAAAAATTATCCGGGCATGGTGGCACATGCCTGTAGTCCCAGTTACTCGGGAGGCTGAGGCAGTAGGATTGCTTGAGCCCAGGAGTTTGAGGTTGCTGTGAGCTAGGCTAATGTCACTATGTCTCAAAAATAAATAAATAAATAAATAAAAATAATGATTAGGAGTTTGTCAGATAGCAAAAGGGGTAGGAAGGCGCTGAAGGCAGGAGAGGCATGTGCAAAGACTTGGTGGTGTCAGAGTGTGGCCTGCTGGGGACAGGCCAGGAGATCACGAGTGGCTGGTGTGGAGGATTAGGTGGCATGGAATGTGTGGGGGCCTGAGGAACTCACACGGAAAGGCTCGAATGCCAGGCTGAGGAGTTTGGCCTCTATTCTAAGGAAACTGGGGAGCCATGGCAGGGCTTCAGAGGGGGAGGACATGGAGTTGACCTTTACAAAGATGGTGCCACACGGAAGGTGGGTGGGACTGGGGAGTCTGGAGGGAGGGAGACCAAGGAGGAGACTGTATGTACAATGGTGCAGTGACAGGAGTGGGTCCCTTGGCCCTGGATTTACTGCAAGAGGGGGAGCATCCTTCCCTGCCCATAGCCCGGCCATGGCAAGAGTCCTCCTACAAGCTGGGGCCAGAGGCTGGGCACTCACTCAGAAGCCATGCCAACACCAGGAGGCTCTCCTCAGACAGGAGAAGACAGGGCCATGTGGATCCCAAAAGTCTGAGGGAGGCCCTCCTCCCTGGCTCCAGTGCTCAGGACTCTCCTCTGGGGAGCTGCAATGACAGGGACAAAGCCACCAAGCTTCCCAGCAGGGCCCAGGCTGCCTACCCTCCCAGCAGAAACTCTATCTATTCATCCTGGACTAGGAAGGAAGGACTCAGACCTAGGAGATGGGGTGTTGGGAGTGGAAGAACTCCTCTGCTCAAAAGCCAACTGTGGCTCTCCATGGAGCAAGGACCTCCTCTTCTACTGTGTGCCTACCTTCACCTGGTCATTCATTTCCCAGATACTCACTGGCATCTGCTCTGTGCCCAACCTGTGCTGGGTGATGGGGACAGAGAGAGAAAGCAGGGATGGCTTGGGCTAGTGCTGACACTGGCCTCTGGGAGTGTAGTGGTCAGAGTGGGCCTCCACAGCCAGCCTCCCCACTCAGGACCCAGTAATAGGGAAAGGCCAGGCAAAGGGCAGCCCATAGGGTACACCAGACGGGCCTATAGAAGGCAGTTTGGGGAGAGGAAATATTTCATTAGGGGAACCTCCTCCTCTCACAAGATCAAGGCTTCTCTGGTCCTATGGGCAGGCATTATCTTATTAGCAGTTGGGTAATCAGGCCACAAGAAAGCCCCAAAGACATGTTCCTAGGGCAGGAGTCAAACTCCCTTTAGCCTGGAAGCCAGAGGACCGGGCCTCCCCCTGATGGGGCTCCTGTCTTGGATGGGGAGGGCTAAGCTGGGGCAGTAGACAGGAGCCTCAGATTTCACCTTCGCTTAGTGACCTTGGGCAAGATACTTTCCATGCCTCTATTTCCTCATCTACAAGATGGCGACAGCAATTCCTCCCTCATAGGGCTGTTGGAAGATAAAATGAGGGATTTTTATAAATTGTTATTAGTAAGCCATCTCTTCAGAGGGTGTAAGGGGAGAGGAAGGCATTCAATAATTAAATTCTAAGGACCAGCATAATCCCTTGCTGTTGCACCCGTGTTCTATTATAGTCTTCAAAATGCATTTAAGTCTTTGAGTTTCACACTCCTCCCCTGAGGATTGCACTTTAAAGCTTACAAAGCTCTTTCCTTGCCAGTATTAAGAATTCTCATAGCAACTTTGCACTCAAAGAGGCAAGGCTCAACATTTCCAATTGACAGATGGCAAAACGGGTACCTAGAGAGGCATAATGGCCTCTCTAAGGACCATGGCCACAAAATCACTCACGAGGCCTCCTTGGTGATGCCTTCACACTCTCTTAGCTGACTCTTGGGGAATCCAGAAGCCTCAAAGCCCTGTGCATCCTAAGTAGGAGGGGGACAGGAATGGAGGAGCCACAGCCTCACTCTGCCACCCAGCTTGGCAGCTATATCTGAAGGTTACCTCTACGATCCTCCAACCCCTCTAGCCAGACCCCAGGACAGCCCAAGGCAGGTGGAGGAGGAGAAAGAGTGACAAGACTGTGCCAGAGCCTCCTCCCCACCCCCCCACCAAACACACTCTCAAACGTAGGACCTTACTGGTTCTGGCCTCCTTTTAGAGGCTGGCAGGCCGGAACTATCCCATGGTCCCCAAACAGGTTGAGGGCAGAGCTGGGATGAGATCAATTGCAGGTCCACTAGCCCCACCCTGGGAGAAGGAGAGTCTTAAGTGTCCCCAAATTCCTCAGCAGGAGCATCTGAGAGCTCAGGGGAAAGTGTTTGGCCAAAGGGGCAAGGGCTAACTCAGAGTTTGAACAATGCCTGGGATAGTTCTGGTGTCAACATCACAAATGCCCTGACCTTCCTGCACTTGGCACTATTCAATCCAATCTCCACCTGCAGCCAGGGAGACCTTTCAGAAATGCTGCTCTGACCATGGATCTCCTCTGCTCATAAACTTCCATGGCTCCCTATTGCCTTCAGGAGGTAATCTAAGTCTTCAGCCTGCACACTCTGGGTCCTGCAGTGCTCCAAACCACACTGTGAAAACCTGTGCCACTTGCTTTGATGACCAGATTCTGGTTTACCCTTCTTTGTAGTGACATGGAGCTCCACTGTAGACAGGCCTTCACTGGGGAAGTTGCGGGCAGAGACAGGGGATATGGGGCTGCTGTGGTTCTCTTGGTTCAGCTCATCCCTGTGCAGGGTGCTGGCAACACAGAAATGAGTGAGACCCAGTTTCTGCCCTGCAGGAGCCCCCAGAGTTAGGGAGAGGGAAGAAGGAGACAGATATAGACTATGACAGTCTAGGGTGGAACCAGGGTTGTCAGCACCAAGACTGCAGAGGCCCAGAACAGGCTCCAACCCAGCTGGGCGATCAAGGAAGGCTTTCTGGACGGGGGACATCTGAGCTGGGCCCGAAGTCTGGGTAGTTCTCCAGTTGAGGAAGGTGAAAGTAGTTGGGCATGTCAGGCAGTAAGCATGGAATATGAAGTGGGCAGAGGCAAGAAACAGCCCAGTGCGTACAGGAGTCTACAGGCAGTGACTGTAGGGTAAAGAGTCAGGTGGGAGAGGTGGCTGGAAGTGTTGCAGGGACCAGTTTTCAAAGGCCTTAAGTCCCAGGCTAAGGGGCTCAGGCTTGGTCCTGTGGAAGTCCTGTGAAAGTTTAGCCTGGGGAGAGGCATGGTTGGGAACTTGGTTTCAGGAGGCTCCCTCTAGGGTCTGAGCCTCCACCCCCAAGCTGTGAGCCTGCCCAGGGGACACTGGTGCTGAACATGCCCCACAAATCAGCTCCTCAACAGCCCTCAAGTTCCATACCATCAGTATTCCTTTTTTACAGATGAGGCCATTGAGACTCAGAGAAGGGACACCTTGCTCAGGGTCACACAGTGGCCAAAGCTGGATTGGAACTTAGGTCTCTGAGTCTCCAGAGCTCTTTTGGGCACCCTGTGGACCCTGTCTGTGGACCCTCAAAGAATCTTCTTCCTCCCATGCCCATCTGCAGATAACTGAGACTTCCCTGGGGCTCCAACCTGATCCTCAAAAGCTCATCATTACTCCAGCCTAGATCCAAAACAAACCGGGCAGATCAAACTGCGGGCACAGGGATGAGAGGGGGAATGCAATGCTGAAAGGAACAACAGCCATGGACCCGGGAGATCCAAACTGACCACGCTAGTCTCTAGCAGGACCCGACCCTTGGGCTGGGCTCCCGGAGGACCCCAAGCCTGCCACTGGCTGCCCTAGTGGGGGCGTGGGGGACCGCCTTTCTCCTGCATAACCCTTTCTACAGCACCACCTGCCAGATTAAAAGTCCTCTGACAGAGGCTTAGCTGTCCTTCCTGGCCACTGCACCCTCCTTTCCACTTCCTCCCTGTAACTGCCCCCCAGTCTTACTGACGGCCAGGACTGGCGGACCACCCAGAGTGACCCAGGGGTAGGACGGGGTGCAGGGAGTCTCTGGCCACAGCGCCTCGCCCCTGGGCGCTCACACCAGAGCACACACACAGACAAATTCCACAAGTTCAGCCATGCGCCCCTCAGGGGCGCACACACTCGCCCACTAACACACAGACTTCCAAAATATGCGGACACACACGACCTACTTACTGCCAGGGTACCTGTCCACACTCTCTGAGATCGACACTGCAGTGGAGACAGTTCAACCACAGACCCACAGGCGCGCCACACACCGCTCAGAACAGCGTCCCAGCAGGACCCACACGCACGCGGCTCTCCCCGGCCGAGCTGAGTCGGCACCTGCCAGTTTGACCCGCCGCGTCCCCAGGCCACGCCCGAGTCCTGCCGGTGTCCTGCCCCCTCCAGGCCACCCACCCCTCACCTCTGCGCTGCGCTCCTCCGCCGGGGTGCTGTCGCCGCCGCTCCCTGGGGCCAGCGCCCGCGTCCCGCAGCCGCGGGGACCCACGTTCCTGGGAGCCCGGCTGTCCCAGACAGCGCCTCGCTCCCTACCCCGCGGCCCGGCCGGGCGGGGGGCGGGGCGGACTCTGGACAGACCCTGGCGCCGCCCCGCAGCCGCGGGACAGACACCTCGCCACCCGCTCTGGGACGCCGCCCAGCGACACGGCCGCCGGGTCAGCGCGTCTGCGAGCGGTGCTGCGCGGGGAGGGGCCGGCGACGATGGTGCTACCGCCTGGCCAGGAGGCCGCCGTCCTCCCTCACGCTGGCCTGGAGCGTGTGAGGAGAGGTTTTCAGAGACGCCAGAGTTTTACAGGTTTGCCTGGTGCCTGCGTGGCCCACTGCGGACCTTTGCGCCGAGCCTCCGCGCCGCTCCACCTCTTCCCCGCTCCCGACCCGCCCGGCTCGCGGAGAAGGGACCTGCTCCGGACAGACCTGCTCAGGAGCTCCACGCTGAGAACGCCCCTCCCTGGCTTGAGACGGGGCGGCTGGGGCTCTCCCCATTGCCCTGGGAAGGGAAGCAGGGCAGTCAGATCCTGCCTTCCTTTCCAGCTGCGTAGGAGGCGGCGGCCGAGGGACCCTCTCCTACGCTCCCTCTCCCCTTCCCCTTCCCTAATCTCAACAGCAGTTCCCTGCAATCCACACACTTTTTGGTTCCTCATTTTGAGCTGCCTTTACCCCCTTAAGGGGAGTTAAGGACCACGGCGGCCTTTTTCCTGCTGCTGTCCCGAGGTCCTGGGAGGTGCTCCATCCTTGAGCGTATGAATGGACGACAAATGAGCAAGTGCCCCCCCCCCGCCCCCATTTGCAGTTCAGGAGTCCGCAGTGTAGGTTCTGGCCCAGCTTCAGCACTGACTCTGGGAGACCTTCACTCAGTTCCAGTCCCTCTCAGGGCCCCCTTTTCTGTGAAATGGGGCCACTCACACTGATGCTCCCACCTCCCAGTGCCAATCCACCGCGTGCTGAGGCTGGTGCAGTGCTGGGCAGGTGCAGAGGAGGACTCTCTCTGTGGCCAAGGATCTTGCCCAGGGCCCTGAGGCTTGGGGCTCTGCTAGGCTCCTATCAGCCGCCAGCCACAGGAGGGGTCCAGGAAGGGTGCTGGCTGCAGCCCTGCCAGGAGCAAGAGCAGAGTGGACAGACAGCCCTGTGTGACTGAGCCGCCTCTGCAGTCCCACTGGGACTTTCGCTTGGGAGATACAAAGGCCCCTTGTGCAGCCTCCTCCACCTATTGTCCAAGCAGCTTCCAGGGACTTAAATATCCCCGTAGCCCCAAGTTGTGGGACCCAGGCCTGAAGGTCCCAGTGTGGAGAAGACCCTTGGGCACTGGAATCCCAGCCAACCCTCTCTTTCTTAGCCCCATTCCAAGCCTTCAAACCTTTTACTGTCACCGCTGTTTAGCCCAGGAGGAAAATAAAAAACTCTTTTGACACCAAGTTGAGGACCCAGGTTTAGCCCCAGACTTCAGCAGAGAGACCTGGATAGTGGCCTGTCCAGGGCTCCGCCTCTGCTCTGGTTCAACTCCCTTACTTTACAGCCAAGAAGCTGCATCCCTACGACACAGTATCTGAGCTACCACAGCAGTGACTTAGTGAGGCCGGAGGAGCATAGGAAAGGGCCTTGTCCTTAAACCCCAGAGCCCTCAGTTCAGATTCCAGCCTGCCTGTCCTGTGACTCCTCTCTGAGTCTCAGTTTCCTCTCCTGGAAAATGGAGTCATAATAATCTCTTACTTGCTGATCTACCTTGAGTTTTTTTTTTAGGATTTTCCCCATCATCCCAAGCTTCCTGGGTTCAAAGGGTTAGTATCCCCTTTAGTGAGGTCTGGAAGTCTAGGCTGACGTCTTCCCCAGGCACTTCCATCACTGGGATTTAGAGGTGATCATGTCCAGCAGGCTTCAAATCCCCCACCAACGTCCCCTTACCTGGGGCTGCCTGGCTTCAACTGGAGCACCATTGCTTTTATATTTTTATTTATTTACATTTCCTAGTAAGAATTGGTTGCAAACATATAAAAGATTCTATGGCTAAAAGAATTTAAAACCATTTATCAGACCAGGAAATTGAGGCCCAGTGAGTCACATGGCAAGCCTCACACAAGTGGCCCATCCAAAAGGGTAGAATAGCATCGAGGAATCTCCCTGGGACCAAACAGCCAAGGCAGGCTAATGGCGAAGGCCCAGGCACAGTAATGGTCCCCACGAGGTGGGTAATGGAGCCATGGAGGCGGGGGAGGCTTCCATTAGCAGCAGCAGGTCAGGAGGGGCAGGGCAAGCCCCAGCCTCGGCTTTTCTCCCTGCATTAGGAGGCTTCCTGTCTCTTCAGCCCCGAGGAGGTGTTTGGCTGGCTCAAGCCTTTTTATCTTCCCTCTTTCCACTTCTCTCATCACCCCTGAGAAAACCTTCTGCTCTGAGAATCCAGGCGAGGGTTGGAGCCCCTGTTCTGGCCCAGGCTCCAGCCCTTCCTTCCCAGGCCAGCGTGATGTCTCTGTTGCCCCTTGCTGCCATCACCTGCTCACACTCTCAGGTGGCTCCACCACCCTCTGGATAAATCCCAGCTCTCCAGCCTCCCTACCTCTCTGCCTCACCTCCTGCCCCTGAGCCAGCCATGCTCAAGTGCCACCTGCCGCTCCTCTGCCTGCAGGGCCCCTTCATGCTTCTCTGCCCATGACCCCAAGCTCCTGGTTGTGAGATAGGTTATTATTTGCATGTGACATGTAGAGAAACTGAGATTCAGAAAGGGGAGGTGAATGTCCAAAGTCATGCAGTGAGTCTGAGGTGGATCTCCTGGCCCTGGGACAGCAGCTGCTGGGCAGGAAGGCCCTGCTGAGTTCCTGCAGTGATGGCTGGGCCATGGTGCTGAGACCCACCCTGGTGGCTCCAGTTACATAGGACTGGGCTGGTTTCGGCAGCCTTTTCTTACTTGCTCCCTGGGCTGATGCATTGACCTGTGCTGTCCTCCCTTCCTCGGCAGCCGGGAACTGTGCTCCTCAGGTTTCCTGGGCAGGGGCCAGGGCCCTGATGCCAACTGCAGCCTGGAAGCTCTAGCTCTCCTCATGCCAGGATGCAGGCACCCAAGGGAGTCAGTCCTGGGAAGCAGGAAGCCTGGTCCAGGCCTGGACAAGCCTCTGCTCTACCTCCCCACAAGCAGGACCAGCTACACATTAATAATTTGCAGAACCCAGGGCAAAATGAAAATGTGGTCCCCTTGTTCAAAAATTAAGAATTTCAAAGTGGAGACAGCAGAGTATTAAATCAAGTACAGGGCTCTGCAAATCATGGGCCCTGTGTAACTGTGCAGATTATATGACCCTACAGCCTGTCCTCAGGCCTTGGTTTCCTCATCCATCAAATGGGAGAGTGGTAGCCACCGGGCTGGAAAGGTGAGATGAGGTGGGAGATGTAAGGAGGAGGTGCAGTGAACAGCACGAGCATTGGGTAGAGGTCCCTGTGGACATCATTTGTTGTTTGCGTCTCACCAATTCTTGCCAGGAGTTTGATTGTTTTTTGTTTTTTTTTGAGACAGTCTCACTCTGTCCGCCTGGGCTAGAGTGCAGTGGCATCAGCCTAACTCACAGCAACCTCAAACTCCTGGGCTCAAGAGAACCTCAAGCACCAAGTAGCTGGGACCACCACACTCAGCTAATTTTTTGTTTCTATTTTTAGTTGGCAGGATATTTTTTTTTCTACTTTTAGTAGAAATGGGGGTCTCACTCTTGCTAAGGCTAGTCTTGAACTCCTGACCTCAAGCAATCCTCCCTCTTCAGCCTCCCAGAGTGCTAGGATTGATTACAGGTGTGAGCCACCGTGTGCAGCCAGGAGTTTGATTCTTTACAGCAGCTCCTTTTCACAGATCTAAAAACAAAGACTCAGAGAAGCAAAGTGACTTGCTCAGGGTTGCACAGAGACTCAACACCGGAAGCCAAGGTCAGAGCCCTGGCCTGTCTCTCTGCAAAGCTGGTGCTTTTTGTAACACAGGCAACAGAGAGAGAAGGGCAGGAGGGAGGTGGGACGGGACAGAGGAGCTGCTCAGGACAAAGAGGGCCACTGTGCAGACACAAAGACCTGACCACAGAGGCCCCTGCGGGGGCTGGGCCAGACAGATGGCTAGAGCTGTGTGACTCTATCTGTGGGGACTGGGGGAGCTGCCAGGCGCTGCCTCCTAGACCCTCCCTGGTTGTGCCCGGGTGAGGGCGTGTTGGTATGCAGGAGCCAGGAAATGGGTCAGGGAGGAGAAACAGACTAGGGATGGGCCCCTTTCCACAGCCCCAGGCCTCCAGAGCCAGAGCTGCCCCCAGCTCCTCCAGGGCGGCCTGCTAGCTTAAGGAATCCCTCTCACACCACCCACCACCCCACATTCCTGCACCTTAGTGGGGGCCAGGGGAGTCAGGCCACCAACTGTCTGACTGTCCCATCTGCACAATCCCCGCCTCCCACAGCAGGCTGGAGCACCTGCTTCTCCACCAATCAAGGTCCCCTGTGACCTCTCCTGTTGACCTTTCCACTCTCACCTGTTCCACTCCTCATCAGCCTCCCACACCTCAGTCACATGGGATGTCCACCGTTCTCCAAACCAGTCCATCCTTTCACTCCTGCCCCTGTGTTTGCTCGTACTTTTTGTTCTTCCTGGAGGGGCGCTCTTTCCCCTGCTCCACTGTGGCCTGAAATCCCATTTCTCCTCCGTGAACCAGCTCCACCAGCCAGCTGTACTTCATGCCCACGGCTGGGTTTAGCCTCACGCATTAACCTGTTACTCCACTCTGCCACGAACATTGGATTTACCTACTCTTGCAGTGCTCATCCCACGCTGGCTTGTGTTGAAGTTGTTTGGATCCACAAAGCCTGCCGGGAAGAGGGGACATTTGAGCTGGGGCTTACAGGGCAGTGGACTTCACTAGTGGCTGGCAGCGGTAAGCAAGTAACCAGAGCTTAGAGAGCCAGGGATACCAGCCCTACTTCCTAAATTTTATCTGAATCAGTCTGGTTCCTGAGTGCAGATAGCAAGGAGTCCATAATTCAGAATGGCAGAGGCATTGTCAAGGGCGAAGTCATTGAGGGTTTTATTTGTCATACTAAGGAATTTTCTTGTTTGCTTGTTTAAAACACACT